TAAACTCCAACTCCACCAATTAGTCCCCAAGACATGTTACTTTCAAAAAAATACCTTGCCAGCAGGGAGACCAGTTATACTGGGCCACTATAATGTTGATAGATTTCAAAACTAGCTGTCCAGGAAGTCAGCACGGCCATTTGCTGGGCATAACCCCACCCCCCTGAATTCTCAAAGAGAGATACCCCCTTGTCCCATCCAATGTTCATCTTTCCACTCTTTCATCCAGGCTACCTGCTATGAACAAGCCTCAGTCTGCCTCTCCTCCCTCAGATGACAGTACTGGATGGGACAAAGCCTGGGTTGCTACACAACACCTAGCAGAACTATATTGCATCGCAGTAAACCAAATGCTGTTACACCAGTACTTGTCCCTTCCCTCCAAGCCTCCTCCAGCCTCCCACCAGCCTTAACCCTACCCACATAGCCCCTCCTCAGCTGGAAGTAGCCAGATCAAGTTGGCGCTCGTTATAACCAAAAGGCTGGAATGTAAGGCTGGAGGCACCGGAGGGAGTGGTGAGCACATTGGACACTGATGACGTGCCAAAGTCCCCGGCTGCTGCCCCCTCCCAACCTGAAAAATGTGCCTTAGGCTAGCTGATCCTCACACCGCTGTAAATCTAAGCTCTGCCTCCCCCTACCTTCTTCAAAAACTCACTGCCTGCCCTGCTGGGCATGACTTCTCCAGCCTGTATTTGTGCAGACTGGTGAACCTCGCCTGGGATTGCACTCAAATAAACTGCCTGGCCTTTTGTTGCCTCTTGTTGCCTGCTTATTTCAGTTATAATTTATCTTACACAGGGAATATCAGGAATGTGAGGAAAGTACTCAAAACTACAAAGTTATATTAACAGCTTTAATTAACAGAAAATATTGGACCAAACATTAAGTATGTAGACTATGTATAGACCCTGACAGTTCCTGGGTGATTTCAGTCTCTAAAGCCCATTTACTTGACTCAAAAGCATTAGTGACTTTCTTTTTTTTTCCTATGCCAGGCTTCAAAAGCTATGGGGTGTGTTTGCTTCTAGATTCGTCTTTGGTTCTCTGGAATGCCATTTCATGTGCTGTGTCTGGAAGCAGCCAAGACAATCCTTTCAGTTCTGCCCACACTGAACTGCCCTCCCCTCACTCTGCCACTGCTGGACCCACTTCTGCTTGTATTTTCTGCAGTCTCTTCAATTTCCTGCCTTTCAGAAAGTTACAGGCCATAATGTAGCCTTCAGCTGCCTGGTATGGACATTTGCAAAATAAGTCCAATGTCACCATGTGGGAAGGAGTCTAATGCCTTTTATGGGTGCTCATCATCTCTCTATTTGATCACTTTTTCTGTCTTAGGAAAGGGCTTGTCCTGCTCAGCTTTTCCTGCAACGCCTTTTCCTCCTTGTATTACTTTTCTATGTTTGGGTTTGTTACAATTAGCCAATAACTTTGGGATATCTCCTAGACTAGACTTCTCATATTTTCAGCATAGATGCTAACAGCTCTGCATCCATGTTCACAAGATTATATAATGATACAAGACCCTGGGCTGTTTACTTTGAGAAATGAGTCTGTGTAAAATCATAAAGAAGATAAGGATTGAATTATTCCTATCACATTGTATCAACCAGATCAGGGGATTTATTAGTTCATGTGTAAGAGATTTTTACCTGGAAAAGATCTAACTAACACAGGGATTGTTTTTCAATCATAATGGAGTCAGGAAGTTCTTGTTGACTGCTTAGCAGAATTTAAACACAAACCCTTTGGAAATTCACTTTTCCTTTGACTTCTGGAATTCCTGGTTAACCTGTTAACTTCTTGAGTTTATTTTGCTCCTAGGCTTCCCTAAATTCTGCTAAAATCATCTTATACACCCTTGTTTGTGGCTTAGTATCTCTCTTCCTAAATCTTCTCTCTCCTGTCTCTAGACCTGTGCTGTCCAATAAGAAAACTGCTAGCCACTAGTGAGAAAGAAATGTGGCCAGTCCAAAACACAGATTTTGAAAACTTAATAAAAAATAAGTAAAATATTAATATTTTCATATTGATTATATCTTGAAATAATACCATTTTGGATATATTGGGTTGAAATACATTGCTAAAATGAATTTTAACTTTTTTTAAATCTTAAATTCTGGCAACTAGAAAATTTAATATTACATAAGTATCTTACATTACATTTCTACTGGACAGCACTGCTCTAGACCTAAAATTCAAATGAGCATTTGAACAGAACACATTAGAATCTGGACTCAATCTAGTCCATACTCTCAAGCTTGCTCCTTCACTGTTATTATAGAATAAACATTATTGCCATGAGACAGGTACATTGCATAACATCAGCCACTGCTGTTGAAGAAGCTAGGACAGAGAAGCTAACTCTAGAATAAATTACTTATGAACAAGGTCACAGATGACTGGCAATTGTCAAAGGGCCTTTTAGCATTGCTCCTGGGCAGCTGCAACAGTTCACAGGATGGCAAAATGACAGCATGAGCGTTTGACTAGAAAGGTACAGCAGCAATTAGGAATAAAACAGCAAGAATTTGTTAACACAGTGGATAAAGTTTATGTGCATTTGGAGTCAGAAAGGTTGGCAGTTTACACATTGTGACACATTTGTGGCAGGTACTGTAACCTCCCTAATGTGCCAAATATTTCTTGCATTGTATTGGTGAATAAAATAAAATCTTCCTCTTCATCTAGTCCAAATCCTGGATCACTTTTGACTCAACCCTTTCCTTTATTCCCCGTATACAAACTTCCAAACCTCATTTATTCTATCAAAAGCAAGTATACCACATCCACATTTTTTTTCCTCCTTAAAGAAAAGGGAGAAACAGAAAAGGGAGACACAGGTCCATATGCTCCCCCCATGGTCCCGAGAGGGAGAGTCCCCCCCAAGGAAGGCTTGTCTCTACAGCATGGCAGTAAAATAAAAAACAATGTCCGTTCTTTACAGTCATTCTCCAGGAGAAATAGCAGGTAGTTAGGAATGCAAGGAGGTGAGACAGAGAAGCCTTCTAGGTACCTTGAGATGACCCAGGAAGGGTCTAGAGCACAAGGAACCTAATTTATTTTTTGCTTTTCTCTGTCCCCCCCTAATCATTTTTATTGCCTTATTCTTCTAATACAAATAAGCTGTGTAGGTGGCAGAACACTGTTTCATCACTTCACACAGCAGACTACCATTCATAAACAATTTTGGATCATCTATTGACTTGCATAAGAAGAAATACTTGAGAGTTGTGTATACAGCTGGCATTATGCCAATTGAGCCATAACATGTAAGACTTATTAATAAAACTTTGAGCAGCCTAGAAATTCTTTTCTTAAAGTAACCAGCGATTGTCTAAGCATATGTTATATGTCAGACACTTAACCAGGCTACTTAAATTTTCTAGCTCCATTTTTTAAAATGCTGTGTATTTATGGTATGTAAGATTGTGCAAGTCCTGTTCAAAATAGGATATATAGTTTTAAATTAGAAATGTCTTCTTTTCTGAAGTGCAAACATAATGATATAGAAGTGATGACTTTTTAATCGTTCTTTAGCAACTTGAAGTTAACATTCCGATTTTTTTTTATAATTTACTTTGAAAAATTAGTGTTTAGCTTAAAAGGGCTTTTGTGCCAACTTTTTGCTTGATGAAACTAATTTGGCCTAACTTCTGTGCTGTAAAAACAGATTTATAATGGAAAGGTTGACACATTTAAATGTAAATTGGGTTTAATTTCAGAAAAATTATCATCATATTCTTTAACTATAATAAGATTGAAAGATAAAATCTTTGCCTCAAGAAATTACCAGTTGGCATTTTAGAGTCTTATTCATAAGATGTTTCACATTTGGCATATATAAATTTAACTAGACATGATTAACTGGAGATTTTATTAACTCTTGTATGAAAGATCAGGTCACTTTGGGGCCTACATTTCAAATGTTAATGCATCTAGTTTCATAGGCTCCAAACTGAGGTAATAGATAGTAAAATTATATTGTACAAGGAAACGAGCTATAGAAAAGAACTTTTTTTTATTAGGGTATAATTGATATACACTCTTATGAAGGTTTCACATGAAAAACAATGTGGTTATTGCATTCACCTGTATTATGGAGTCCCACCCATACCCCATTGCAATCACTGTCCATCAGTGTAGTAAGATGCCACAGAGTTCCTACTTGTCTTCTCTGTGCTACACTGTCTTCTCCATGATCCCCCCACACCATGTGTGCCAATCATAATATCCCTCAATCCCCTTCTCCCTCCCTCTCCATTCACCCTCCCCCACACCTCCCCTCCCCCTTGGTAACTGCTAGTCTCTTCTTGGAGTCTGTGAGTCTGCTGCTGTTCTGTAGAAAACAGAAAATAACTAACATTTTAAAATCAATTTTTCCTAATACATATGAGCTGCTCATGTATTAAGTACTTTTATATTTATTGTCATCAAAATATTCTGTTCATAGAAGGTCTAGGTGGTTTCTAATGTATAGATATATTAAAGTCTATGTGTAGAAACTCTCCTACTTGTATATTGGTTAAAGGCAAAGAAAATCTGATGTATAGATTTTTTTTTGAAAACAATGTATCTTTGACTTGGTCTCTTGCTATTATGGTTAAGACCAAATTATAGTTGCTGTTTCAGTCAGAACCTTTGCTGTTTAGTTGGTGCCTATATTTTATACTGAAGAGCTAGGTAAATAATAAATTAAATAGAATTATGAATACCACTGATTATTCATGTGCTGTACATTTTCTTTAATCAAATTCCAGTGTGGAATGATTACTTACTTGACTGAGTATATTTTATAGTCTCTGATTTAGAAAAAGTCTATGCCCATGCAACTTTTCTGCAGCATAAACCATAATAACATATGGGTCAATTGTAGCTATGAACCCAACAAGTAGGCAGTTTTTGTGTGCAAAAGCCCACTTTAGTAAGACCTTAATGTTACTTGTTTCTTTCCAGCTTATATTTACCTATTTTGGAATTGCAAAGTCAATCAACTGTACCTTTACCACGCCATTCTCATGCATGGTGATGCAGTTGTCGGCATCTTCTGACAGCTGATACAAGGCTTGAGCTGTTGCTCGATGTACATTGGTGTCATTTGATTTCAGGTAACGCACTAGCAAAGCCACTGCTTTGTGCTCACCAAAGGCCACTCTATTTCTGCCCCACATACAGCAGCGTGAAATAGCTTCTGCTAGATGACGCCTCAGTTTATCATTAGTCTGCACAAAGGAAACAAGTTGTGGTATGTGTACTATAATGATCCTGTGAAATCATGTTTATATGCTAGATGTTTTGTACATACTAAGATGCCACTGAGTCAAGAAAGAAGGGTCTTAGCTGGCTACTCAAGTGGTGTCTTATAGAAAATTGGTATTTTGGTGGGTCATCAAAAGACCAAGGTTTGTTCCTGACTTCTTTTTATGAACTGAATGCAGTCAGTGCACTCAAAGTTGATCAGGTTCTAGCATTAGTTATTTACTTGAGGCTAGATTTCCTTTTGAGTAATTCTACATACAACAAAGAATTACAGATCAGCAACTGGTGTAGTAAAAACATAATTAAGGAATATTGGACATTCTTAAGGGACCATTTCACTTAACTGGGATAAGTGGATTACCTCTACTTTTTCACCTTCTACATCAGTAATACACCTTGGTTCTCAAGAAGACAGTGCAGCAAACAGTGCTGTGTTTTGAGTCTGCCATTTTCCTCTCCATATTCTTCATACAGACATTACCCTTCTTTTTGTATGCAATTACTTCCCATAGGTATAACTGAATAGGATATAGTTTTCTGTTTATTAATTATACTGCCCCCTTGATTCAGGCAACAACCTGGTGTCCTTAACTGAATCTGTCAGATGTTCCTAGGAACTCAGTCTTAGACTGGCCCTTAAAAGTCTTCTAAACCAAGCATCTTTCCAATGATTTTATTTCTGCTCTATGACTTTTCTGCCAAGTAGGAGTCTGAACTATGCTCAAATACTCTGATCATGGTGAAGTCATTATCTCTCAAGGCTGCTTATTCTATTTGGCATAATTCTGGACAGACTACAGTGATTGCCAAAGTCTTACTGCTCAAGAATATCATCAATCCAAGCTTGGTAAGCTAGAGGAGGTACATTTAACTTGGCATGGACGGTTATCTTAAGGAGGAGGAGGATGATGATGGTAATGAAGATGATAGTTAATACTTCTACAATACCATTTATATTTGATGCCACTTTACTTGCCAGTGACAAATGAAAAGCAGCCTCTATTTTACAAGGATCTTACATATTAACACTGTACAATTTAAAATACACTTTCACATTTACTAGTCTCAGATAAATGAGTTGACCAAAATCTCACACCTCATAAGTCATGGATATTAAACTTGAATCCAAGTCTCTGTATTTTAAGCTCATTGTTTTTGCCACTACACTATGATATCTTATGACAATACGCATTTAAAAATGAAAAGATGTGTTACTTACTGTATTTGCTAGTTTGGACAATAAAGGGACAACTCCATGATCTGTTATAACAGCTAAATTTTCTTGATCATTTGCTATATTGGTAATAGCAGCACATACACTTGCCAAAACTTCTTTATTATCTGATTTCAGTAAATTGACAACAAGTTCCAAACCACCAACAAAGGAACGAACCATTTCTCCAGAATCCTAGAAAATGATAAAAATAAAGATATCAAAAATAACCCTATAGTTAGTATTTTTTAGAAAGCAGTATATCATGATAAGGCTGTGAGGTACACCTTTGGCATGAAATACAAATTCAGTTTATTTCTATACTATATGTAACTTCTATGTAGGTAAGTTTGAAGTATTTTAGTATAATTGTTGAACTACTATTATGTAAGAGTCACTGTGCTAATTACTGGGGATGCAGATATTAGCAAAATACAGTTGAGTTTTATTATTTGCAGTAGTTATGTCCTATAAAGTCATCATAAAAACTGAATTAGTGAATAGTGAACTATTGCTCCTAGGGGAAATATAGGATTAGGTTCCTGCAAGCCTCTAATCAACATTTTCATCAACTAATACATAACCTTGTTTTATGTACTTTTCTGTTTAAAGACATCTTATTTCATATACTATACATTCATTAACAATGAACACATGGACAACACACCATAAGTCATGCCCAAAGAAAACTTATCTAACTGCATGCATTTTCTCTGTAAGGCACATCACAGCCTTCTTGCACTTAGGGTCACTAGGTAATAATTCAATACTAGACTCAGGTGAAATCACCAACAAAACCCACAAAGATATGGAAAATGTAGCCTTAAGTAGACTCTAAAATGTATGCATGTCTACAGTATGAGAGCCAAAACAAGAAGCCAGAGCATCATCGTGCTTGACTTCAGCTTAGAATGTACATATAAGGCAACACGTATTTTTTACCTCTCTGTGCATGTATAAGAACAACCACAAAATTGTTGGGTTGATTTGGGAGTTTCAAAAATATTTAACAAGTAGGCAAATTCCCAGATGGAATCTGAAAATAAATGTGCATCAACTGTGTGTGCTTCTTTGCCATTGTGGTGCTTTTAGTCTAGTGGAGATGTTGGGCAGGAAGGATATACAAGTAGAAGGAATGGCACTAAGGGTTCAGAAAGGGTAAAGATACTACAGATGCATACAGCAGGGCCTCAGCTGGTGTAAAGATTCAAGATGGCCTCCCCACAAGGATGTTTGTAAGCTAAGGTCTAAGGGATGAGTAGTTATCCTGTGTGAAGGGGATTCTTGGGGGAGGAATCACCATAAACACAGATCTGACAGGGAGAAAGGCAGGTGACTTTTTTCTAGTTCAGAATGGTTAGAGCATAAAAGAGGAAAGGAGGATGGGAGAAAGTAAGGCCTGAGAGGTGGATCTTGAAGGGTCTTTAAGCCTTGATAGGAAGTTTGAGTTCATTTTAAGGGCACGTGAAAGCCATGGAAGGGGATTAAGTGGGCAATTGTTGTGGGGAGGTGGGGAAGGAGATTTCATCAATTTTGTATCATAGAAGATCTCTTAGGATTGCAGAGTTAGGACTGGGGCAATGAATGACCTGTAAACTCAGAGTCTATTTCACTAAATTCAGCAAGAGGTGGTGGTAGTTTGGCTGTGGGGGATAGTCCAGGCCTGGAGAGAAGGGTGTGGGTTTTTGAGGACAGGTGGAGAAGATAAGGACCAGTGACTCAATGACTATTCCCATGTTTCTGGCTTGATCTAGTGGTGTTAATGTTGGAAAGGCAAGCTTTTGTTTGGTTGTCTTAGGGTTGGAAAGGGTCGTATTTGATATTGGAAGACCTAATTTGAATGAAGTGCCCACACAGCATTTAAGTAGAAATACCTGAGAGGCAATTGGATATAGGGATTTGGAACTCAGAAAACTAGGCTGGAGATGTAGATGTGGAAGTCATCATCATGAAGATGGTAATTGAAGCAATGTGTGTGAGAGAGGGGAGTGAGAGATAAGGGACCTCTCTGTGCCAGTGTCCATGTATGGGCAGAGGAAAAGAATTTGTCAGGTGGTTGGATAGAAACCCCCACCTCTCTGATATATGGCAGTGGCTGTGTGATGTCCAATTATTTGGCTCCATGGGTTTCTCAAATAATAGATAATACTATCGTTTGAGTGCTATTTATATAACATGTTTTCAATTGATGTATGTGTCAATAATTTAATACATGTGCCAATTACAAAATTACAGAACAATTTTTTTCTCAAGAAAAACAAGTGGAATTCTGGAAGGTAATGGTGGCACAGTTTTTAATCTCCCTGTAAGAAAGGAGAAACTGGTATGGTAAAACAAAAAACACAAGGGACAACATATACAACAATATTGGGTGACAAGGTATCTCCACTGACCCCCAAATACAAGAAGATTGGGGCAAACTACCAACCACTATTAAGTCCCCCTGCTCCAAGAGACTAGAAATCTGTAGAGGGAAGGCAGAGGGATTTGTGAAGGCCCTGAGAGCCATGGAACCCAAATTGCTATCAGGTCTTCCTGGAAAGCTCTAGAATAACAGCATAGACTTTTCAGGCTCTGATTAATGGATAAGATGATAAATGCCACCAGGTTTCATGGTATTGGAGCATTCTGTGGCTAGAGTCCTGTGAATTCTTAAAAGTACACACTAAAGCCTCTTAGAATGAAGCCCTGCACTAAGGAGAAGTTCAGGAGTTACATCCAAATTGAACAAAGCAGGGATGGTAGGAAAAAGGAATGATAAAGTCCACATAAAAAAGAAGGGGACCAAAGGGGTCTAAATCTACCCTCATCACTGAGAAAATAATAGAAAGGGGATCTTGAGAGCCATGATATTAGAAATACTACCCTGTATTATGCTAAGTGAAGTAAGGCAGACAGAGAAAGACAAATACATATGACTTCACTTACATGTGGAATTGCAAAAACAAATGAACAAACAAAAGAGAAAGAGACTCATAGACACAGGGAACAGACAGGCCATAGGGAAGAGGGCTAGGAGGCTGGGTGAAATAGGTGAAAAGGATAAAGAGGTACAATTTCCTAATTATGGTCACAGAGATGAAAGTATGGATAGGGAATATAATCAATAATATTGTATTATCTTTGTATATTGACAGATGGCAACTATACTTATTGCAGTGAGCATTTAGTAGTGGATATAACTGTTGAATCACCAGGTTGTACACTTGAAACCAATACAATATTGTATATCAACTGTATAAAAAAAAAAAGAAAAAAGGTAAAAAGAAAGAAACACCACCCTGGTCTGCATCTCTCTCATTAAAGATCATGAAAACTAATTTCACTTAAAGATGAGCATTACAAAAAGACTACAATTTCCATATGGAGGTATTATAAGAAAAAAAGATGAGCTGAAAAAAATCATAGAAGCAATGAAAGGAAACTATCAGTTAGAATTATTAAAGCTCATAAATTAAGTGATTACTAAAAAAATTTTTTTTAAAGAAAGGTGAAAAACATCCAAAGGAATTAGAAATAAAAGAAACTTTCATTCTGAAAATGAAGAATAAACTACAAGGAACACAAGAATGAACAAACATAATGGATAATATCCTTAAAAAAATAGAAGATATAAAAATTCCAAAATGAGGGGAAAAGAGCTAACAGAAGATTAAAGAGAAATGGCTAGAGAAGATAACATGCCTATAGTAAGAGCCCCTAAGAAATAAACAGCAATACACTAGACAAATTTTAAAACTATAATTCAAGAAAACTCCCTCCTGAAATAAATAAAACCTGAGATTATATTGAGAGGTCACTCTGTATACCTGGAAAAACTGGCCCAGAATGGGCTGACATAAAGAAATATTCTTCTACAGTTGCTGGACTTTAGGAAAAAAGAAAAAAATTTCTTTGGTCACCCAGGCAAAAAGACCAAGAGAAAGAGTAAGATAATATCCTTAGACTTTCCAGTAGCAATGTAGAAAGGGAATAATATATGTGAGTTATTCAAGAGAAAATGTGAATCAAGGTTCTAATATCTAGCCAAAATGACCTTCAAGTATAAAACTGCTATAAACACGGGAGACTTGAGGAAACGATGTTAACACAGGCCCTTCTTAAGAAATCTACATGAGAGTGAGTGTCTTAGACCCCAAAAAGACTAGAAAGACATTGACAAAAGGATGGCAGATTTCTTAAACTTCCTGTATTGGTTTCCTTTCCTTTCAGATAAGGTCTTAATCATTAGTATGATGTTCAGGTATTTTCCTAGTCCTGCCAAACCTCACCTTCTGGTCTTATTTCCCAGTATATCCTTCTGCATAAATTATACTCCAGGCTCTCGGATAATCAGTGTTTTGTAAAATGCCATGTTCTTTTACATCTTTGACTATGCTATTTTCTTTACTGGAATGCCCTTCTCAGCTCTGGCAAACTCCTGTGCAGCCTGAAAACTCTTTAAGCTCTTCAAGCTCTTAACAGCAGCTTAAATAACATCTCCATGAAATTCTGCCACCCTCTACTCCCCTCATCAGTATTTGTCACTCCCTGCCCTCAGATTCTCGTAGTTGATTTTCTCCAAAATCTGTTCCCTCATTCTGCCTTGTCTGTCAAGCCTTCATTTTGAGTGTCTAACTCTCACACATCAGCAAAGAGTGCCTCTATTACCTAAGAGGTAATTCTGAACTGGCCTAAGCCTATCATGGATGTCTCATTCTTTCTGCCAATTATTTGTTTAGGGGCGGGCTACATATGGCCCCATTATGGCCAGTGAGTTCTGAGATGATGTCTCCTAGGAATCTTCTGGAAGTGTTTGCCTACAGTCTGGATCCTTGATGACATTATTGAGCTACTAAATGAACTAATCCTAAAATCTCATTTAGCCATTTAAAACCAAAGGGATCTGTAGCCATTTTTTTCACTGTAATGTAATTATTATCTTATGGGTCCTCTCCCCATTAATTTGCAAGCTCTTAAGAACAGAGCCACCTGGTCTTGTTCCTTGACTCTCAATTGGGATATTGTCTGGTGTCTCGTGCAGTGGGCTTCCAATAAATGTTTCTTGAATCATGAATACATAAAAATAATAAGGGGACTATAAGGTACTTGACCACAATCACAAACACAAAAAGAGCATTAGCTATATAAGATGGAATATAAATTGACAAGATCCACTTAGCCTCACAGTCTAGTTAGTAACTTCCTTGTTCTCT